TGTTAGTCATAGTATCCAGTTTATATTGAGTTAATTCATTTTCCAGTCTTAGTTTAGTAAATTCATTTTCTATTTTATCATTTCTTATTTTTATTTGTTGAATTTGATCTTTAAATTCTTTAATTTCATTTTGAATTATATTAATTTCTTGTCTTATAAGTGAAAATTGACTCACCAACTTATCATTACTGTTAGTTATCAGTTCGACTATCTTATTCCATAATTCTGCTGTTGAAATATCTATTTGTTCCGCAGGTAATTGTTGTTGTGAGGAAGTTAAATTAATTAGCTCACCTGTTTGATATGATGATTCGGCTCTTCTAGGTTCAGTATATTCAGTGATAAGGTTTGAATCTGGTTCTATTGGTTTGATACTATTAGTCAACAATTTCTGACGAGTAGGTGGTCTTCCTCTCTTTGTTGGAGTTTTCTGTAAGGGACCGGGATTTTGTTCTATTCCAGCAATCAATAACAATAAAATAAGAAGCTTAATATTATTCCTTTTAGTCGAAAACAATTCAAAATTTTTCATTTCTTGAAAAATTAGACAAAGTATGGAAGTGGAGAAAAATTCACGCCAACAGCTTTGACGATCAGAGCGCCGCCCATATGATTTGATATAATTTATATCAGGGGTGTCCAACCCGCGGCCCAATAAACGTGTAAAAACCGACAAACTTTTAAATTTAATTTATTTATTTCAATGGCATAAACTAAAAAAAAGGTTTTACAAAGCCGTAAACCTTTATATATATTTTATTTTTGAGTGGAAAGAAAATATTTTCAAATACTTGGAAATGTGTGAATGAGGAACGAATACTAAATAAAGCTAAAGTTGAGAAGAATTATAGACCCAAATTCGGGAAAAGGAGAGGAAGGCCAAAAGATAAAAAGTAGTGAAAAAGGTTAAATAGACTTTCTGTTATGCAAATATGGATCCATAATCTTCCAATCTTTTGTCCTTTCTTTCCTTTCCCCGAATTTGGGTCTATTATCCTTTGAGACCCAACTCCAGCTTTGTTTAGTATTCCTTCCAGCGTTGCATGATTTGGCTACTTTGCAAAAAAGTTGTCTGCCCTTTTTTAATTTAGCGTAAAAAACATCATGTCGCTCATTGGCTACTTTTTGGGCTACAAATTATTTATAAATATATTAGTCGAATAAAAATTCACTTTAAAATGGTGTTTTTTCACTTTTTATTAATTAGAGACCCAAATAAAAAAATATTTGTTTTTCAAATAAATTTTTGTTTGTCTTCTTTAAGATAAATGAATTTATCTATTTCTAATTTTGGTCCACAAATGTACATAATATACTTCTGGCCCAAAACTCCATGACATATTCTTATGTGGCCCAGAGAAACAAAAAGGTTGGACACCCCTAATTTATATTATCTTTAAAAAACATTACGTGTTTGTTCAAAAATGCATAATTTTTTAAATGTTTTTTGAAACAAACTTTGTATATCATCAGTATTAATATTACAATTTGCTCTATTACGACGTAAATACCATGGTGACGTCTTAATACGTAATCTGACAGCTGCTTCATTCTCCATTTTTTGATTAATTTTTTAGTTTTTCTCTGTAACATTTAGGTTAATTTTCAAGTAAAAATATAGGTGCTGTAAGTTTTTTGTATTTTTCTTCATGTAGTAATCTTGATACTCTATTTTTTTGAAAAAAAAACAATGCTTTAAAAAATTAATTTTACTCATATAAAATGTTCATTTAAAAGATATAAATGGAAACTGGAAATGCAGTAAAACCTCGTGATTTCGATTTTGAATACAGTAGAACTCCTGTAACACGGGTTCGTATAATACGGATTCGTATAAAAACGGCAAAAAATTGCTATCGTATTCGTATAAACACTCAAAAAGAAACTCGTATAATACTGTAAAACGTCATCGCCGACTCGTGTCGCGACAGGATTGGTCGAATCTAGACCAATAGCGGATATTGCACAAACTGTTGAGTTTAAACGAGCAGCGGACCTGCTAAACACCATTTATTATTTAACGGCCATAAAAATTATATTTAGGGGAAGGTGGGGCAGGATGAGGATGTTACAGTTTGAAAAGCCATAAAATGGCAACCACTTTAATGAGAACAATAATTTGTTTATTCTCAGCAACTACAACTTTCGGTAATATACAATACAAAATGTAATTTTCGAAAAACGTTTTTAAAAACAAAAAAATTTAATATTTTAAAATTATATGTAAATGCACCATCTTGCCCCACCCGTGGGGTAAGATGGGAATATTATTTTTATATTCAAGGAAAACAAATTAAAATGGTTAAACTGTCGTTTTCTTCAATATTGAGACAAGAACAGTGTGCCCATTTATCACAACGGCTATATTTATTATTATTTTCCGAATAAATAAATATAAAAGTTTAAACTTACTCGTATTTACTTCACTAGACAGTATTGTCATTTCGCGCATGCTCAGTTTCTGTATTTTGTAAGCAGACTATATTTTTTTCGTGGAAAAAATTTTTATTTCGATTTGTTATCTTACATTTTATTTCTTGTTAAGATAGTATTTAAATTTAAAAAATGTTTTCACAAATAAAATAAAACGTAAAATTTAAATAATGAAGTACAGTAATACAGTATGTACTGTATAAATTTATTACAGTTACATATGATTTAAAAGTGGATAATTTCATTTTCTATAAATAGATCATTTTTAAACTTATTACAGTAGAACCTCGATTATCCGGACTAATTGGAAATGAAGGTAGTCCAGATAACAAAAAATTCGGATAATCGAAACAAATACTTTAATTTGTCTTGTAATGATAATACAACACGTTTTCTTTTCGATGGCATATCGATAACATTAAAAGTAAATACTGTATTTAAATCGTGATCAAATTTTCAAGAAACAAACGTTCGTATTGAATTTGTACTACTACTGACCAACGCTAATAGACTACCTATTGTTTAAAAGGCCCTCTGGTGGCGCAAGGAGACGGATTTTATAAAATAAAAAGCAGTTGAAACTGCATTTTTATGAATAAAAATTTGACAAACTATTTATCGTTTTATGACGAGTAAAATTTTTTCGTCGTGTTCGCGGCTTTTAAGTAATGCATAAACCTTCGAAACGCGAGGCCCTTCGNAATTTACATCATACATACAAATTAAAATAATTATTGCTGACCTCGAAAATTACTTCAAGTACATATTAAGTATAAATAAACTTTTTAATACCGTAACAAATTATGTTTTTATTTTTATAGCTGATAAACTTCCAAAAGAACCGACAACGAATACGACAGTGTCGATAAGTAAGTTCTGTATATGTCATTATTTGTAAATTTTTTAGATATTTGTCATTGTAATTTACATCATACATATCAATTAAAATAATTCTTGCTAACCTCGTATATTACTTCAAGGACATATTAAGTATTAGTAAACTTTTTCTTACCAAAAATATTATGTTTCGATTTTTATAGCTGCTGAACCTACAGAAAAACCGACAACAAATACGAAAGTGTCGATAAGTAAGTTCTTTTTTCTTCATTTTATGTGAATTTTTTAAAAATCTATCATTGTTATTTACATCATACATATCAATTGAAATAATTATTGCTAATATCGGATATTACTTCAAGTACATATTAAGTTTAATACTGTGAAAAATAATATTTCGATATTTATAGCTGATGAACCTACAGAAGAACCAACAACAAATACGACAGTGTCAATAAGTAAGTTCTATATTTTTATTATATGGTAATTTTTTAAAAATTAGTCATTGTAATTTACATCATACATATCAATTAAAATAATATTTTTAAATTCGGATATTACTTCAAATACATATTAAGTTTGATACCGTAAAAAATTATGTTTCAATTTATATAGCTGATGAGCCTACAGAAATACCGACAACAAATACGACAGTCTCGATATGTAAGTACTGTATTCTTCATTTTATATAAATTTTTAAAAAATTGTCATTGTAATTTATCTCATACATATTAATTGGAATAATTATTGCTAATATCGGATATAATCTCAAATGCATATTAAGTTTCATACCGTATAAAATAATGTTTCCATTTTTATAGCTGATGAACCTACAAATAAATCGACAACAAATACGACATTGTCGATAAGTAAGTTTTATATT